GGGAGAGGTAGTTCATTGAGCGGTTTCACACAAAAAAAGTGTTACTTCACAGTTTTACGACACATTTTAATTGTTTTGACTTGCAACATTATATGTGTAATTCATCATATGAAACATCATATGTGTAATTTGTGGCACAATTCAAACGGGATCGAAAGATAACCTTTCTCTCCCCATTGACTTCAATACATAATTTCTCCGAAATAAGGTCCCATGGGGCGGAAGTAGATGGGCGGGACTTCGCCTCTCTATTTTAATTTTATATAAGAATTGAAGTCTGCCAGTGCAGATTCCAAAGACATTGTTTACGGTTCCTGGAACAGTGGGACATGAACAGCTTCCAGCCCCTCTGCCCCTGCCTTCTAGGACCATCAGATTCTCTGACTTTTGGCATAGACTTAGAACTGATATACTGACCGTGACATTCCTAGGTAGAACTGGAAATTAATTGATTTGGTTTTATTTGACTGTAAAAAGTTCCTGATTAAGGAGAAAGCGGCTGTCCTTTAAAACTGGCTGTGCTGGGCAGCCTGTCCCTCCCTCCCTTTTTGTCAGGGCCAGCTGGTCCAACAGCACTATATATAGCTGACTTTGACCTCCAGAGCTGAATTGGGCTCATAGAAAAAAGTGACAGAGCACAGGGATAACTGACAGATGAGCAGGAGAAAGAAAGGCAGTAGAGAAAGAGGGGAGCGTCAGACAGAGAGAAGACGACGCTGAGCTGTTGGCTGTCTTTGCTGCCAGTTTGCGTTCAGTTAGTGGGCAGTGATGGGGGATCCTGCCATCCTGCTTGAGTCAGTTACATCTCCTGTTGTCACGGCGATCCCCACGTTGATAGCTGGGGTAACGCAAGGTGAGGGCAACTTTTGTTCAAGGGCTTCTAAGGAGGTTTCTTCGTTGGCTGGAGTTCATTGTGGGGGGGGCCTGGCGGTTGGTTGCTAGTTGATGGATTCAGTGAGGAACATATTGCCGTTTTAACTTGAACTTTCTCATGTAGATGTCTGTCTCTTTAGCCCAGTGGGTATTAGTCAGTAGACTACACAAGATTTGGATGGTAATATGTAACCAAATAATGGGTTAACATTTAGGTTAGTTATGATATTTAAGTAGTATGCTTTCAAATTGTACATGTTATACATTACTTATGGTTCCATCTGATCATATTATTTTTGATGAACTTTAATTGTCATGATAGAATAATAAAGAAGTGTTAAGGAAGCCAGTCTGATTTATATTCTCGGCCGACTCTAGGTCAGATGACGCATAAAGATTCCCCAATATGAATTTAAGATACCCAACTCTATTTTGTGTTTCTTTTGTGAACTTTAACCTTAACAATGGAATTACTAAAGTCTTACCCTAACTATGATCTCGCTGTATGCGTTTGTCAGACTGAGGTTAAACTGCAATGTTACACTGTAGATTTTAATATACCCTACTATGCCAAGTACTGTGAGCTATGTGTGTTGAAGTCTGTTGCATAACGCTTGACCTCGCTCCATGTATGAGACTCCAACACCTGTTCATTCTCTTTGCTGCAGTCTTTTTCACATTTGCATTGTGGGACTTCAGCACCCATGGGACAACTTGTTTTGGCTTTGTTATGTTTCCATCACCGCATAGCCTTTCCCTCAAGCCGGTGATGACATGATAATTCCTTATAGACAAGCCATGTTTGAATGTAACACTTACCTTATAGTCCATCAGGTCTCTCCACCTAAGCTTGGTTAGTTCTCCTCCTGTTTGAAAGCAAGGAAGGGGTTTTAACAATTATGGTGGGAAAAAGGTCAAGAGATGGCGGCGCAAAGGTTAACCAATCGAGCTCATCCCAGGTTAACAATATATTTATTTTAACAGGGTTATTTTTCGTAAGACATTGAGCCTTTTATATAATTGGTAGTGTTCCCTCTGATGCAACTAACATTGGCTGCCAACTTAAACATTTAAAAACTGTTTATATGAAGATGTGCACACTAACACAATGTGTGCGAGGGATGCATTGGCTGATATTGATTTTTGATAGATTTGTGACATTATTATCTTGAATGTACAGCATGAGTTTGAGTTCAAATGTGACCCTAACATCATCTACTGGCTTTTGGTTGCAGAGGCTACCAAAACTTCATCAGCCAATAAGAATGGGAAGAAGGCTGACTCTGGGTCCAGCAGCAGCTTCTTCACCTGGTTCATTGTCCTGGCCCTGCTGGGTGTGTGGACCTCGGTAGCTGTGGTCTACTTTGATCTGGTCGACTATCAGGGAGTCCTCGGTGAGTATTGGCTGCCTCACAAATGTGTGTGTTAAAGAGTCTTTCTGTAATATCTCACACTTCATGCACGCTGCTGAAAAGGTGTGGTAGCAAGTCCTATGGCATTTCTCTCCCCTCACATACAGGTCTGTCTACAAACATGTGCATCTGTCACCTGTCTGAATAAGAACCAGTCTGACTATGATTTACCATTGTCACATAACAAGCAGTGTTTCCAACAGTGTTCTACAAATGTACAGTCGTTCATAAGCCTATGCAGCTCTGTGCATAGGCTTATGAACGACTGTACATACAGGGGTGTTTTTGTGTTCGCTAAAGTGCTTATCCGATCCTCAACCCACACCCTTCATCAGCTGCCAGCTGAAAGGATCTATTTCTGTGAGAATCACTGAGCAGTCATTCCCAACCTGACATAAGTCTACTTCAATACACCGTATTTATGAAAATGGTTCTCAAATCTGTCTGAAAAATTATGGCAACTGAGTTCTTCACTCTCAAATCAAGTGAAGAAAGAAATTGGTCTAACACATGTTAGTTTAGTCTTTGAATACACGTGGGCATATACAGTGGGGCAAAAAAGTATTTAGTCAGCCACCAATTGTGCAAGTTCTCCCACTTGAAAAGATGAGAGGCCTGTCATTTTCATCCTAGG